TAAAAAACTGCATTGTTCTTAGTGGCAAATGTGCAGGGTCGATATTTGATAAGTAAAGAAAGCTAGGCGTGACATACATCTGGTCAGATTGCTTCCAAACATCAGCCAGCCTTGTTCGGTCCTGAATGTGTGATAGCTAGGGGCTTAATTCACGCACTAATGTATATTTATGTAAAATCCATGCCAATGCAGCAGCATCTCACTAATTAAACTCAGGTTTAAATTACTTCCAATTCACCGAAACTCTGCTTCGCAGCAGAAATCGCCTAAGTCTCTTACAAGCCAACTTGTACTGTTCATGCCGCGTGAATTTGGTTGTAAATTGGAAAAGTGAATCGGCTTCTGTGTCGCTCGTGTTTGAAAGACGATGCCTGTTTTCATTCATCCATTGCTCAAGGCTTTGTAACAGTGCCGTGGGCACATCGACGTTACAGACTTGTAAATCAGAATATTTGAATTTCAGATATTAACGATTTATCTGATGGTGCTACTGTACATCTGTTACTCAAAGAATCACCTCTATTGTATGCTGAAACCATCACTTAAATTCTCGCTATCACACTGTTATACTTATCCACGTATATATAACATACATGTATATATAACACCAAGTCATTAATTAGACAGACGCGGTTCTGGGTACCGTACGGCCCTACCTATCAAGTTTAGTCAGTTTCTAGCCGTAGGTTAGCTTGGGTTAACACGTTGCATTTGCCGCGGATGTTTGTAATCTCTTTTATAACACAAGGTCACAGGCAACTGAGTAATCTGAACATCAAGTGCTGTGAGGCGTATTACGGGACGTCACGGTCATAAAATACAGTTTCAGATAGTCCATCTTCTCACGTCAAATCACAGACGAGAACCTCATTCTCCATATCTCGACCTTTTGAAGTCGACGTGACACTTTTGGGCTTCAGACGATCTTGCGGCAAGCTAGACGGAAAGCCTAGATGACTATCGGATCCAGAACTGTGCCTATCTAGGTCTATGCCTGAATGGGTTAGGATTAGTACCAGGCACGGTTCTGGATAGTCTCCGTGTATACAAAATCGTAGATTCGCCCCAGGCATAGTTCTGGATACGTGTATGAGCATGGTTCAAGATCACGTTCACTTCAATGAAAAGTAATATTTCTAGGATGGTGTCACTTATTGCTTTCGATTGATCAATCGATAAAACTGGACAGTGATAAATTTCCCAACCCTGTCAGAGAGGACCAATTCTTCAGTAGCATCCAGGTATGAGTTATCGCTGCCAAGCATGCTTCGTGGTGAAGAAACAGTCAAATTAATCATTATGTACAGATCAAATATTATTGGAAATAGCTTGAAATGTGTCATATAACGTAGAGTGGATTCACCTCTCAAGCTAACCAATTAAACATCTATCACACCGCAGTCATACCTCAGTAATCAGTAAGACATCTGGAGCCGCATAGTTCCCGCTTAGAACTTTTATTCCGCCTGTCAGGACCGGTTTCGCCCTGTGGGCTTAATTCTTCAAGTGTACAGAGGCTGAATGACACAAATTTATAAAGTTATACATCAGCTTGAAATATGTCACAACCACATAGAGGCTCATTGACAGTCACCAAACGTTTTTACAAGAACAGTGAAAGAAACCGGTACCAACACCATCCCTTAGCAGGGACGGGGGGAGCCACAAACTTTCTGCAAGGCATGATCCACTGCTCATCGACTCACGTGCTTATCTTTATAACATGACGCCACAGAAGTGTCATAGAAGTGTTAATCTGTATACTGTGACGTCACAGAAGCGGTGGATTGCTCATTTCTTGGTATAGATTGGAGTTGTACAGTCGAAAATTTGGTTAAGTTCGACTTTGGTTCACAATTGGTGGAAAACATCGATGTTTGTTTGCTTGCGAAAAAAAGTTCCACGACAATGGTTGATGTTGTGATCAGGAAATACATGTGTTGTCAATAACATATGGCAAAACTACTTCACACATAAACGGTGTTACGAAACAATAACAATAGCAAACAAACCATACGTACATCATTACAATGTTTCCAAATTTCATCAGGTCAACATAGTCAAGATCACAAACGTCAGAACTGGTTCTTGCGCCATTGCTCGCTTGCTCCAAGTTCAGTGACCCGTATATATCAATCATGAGTATATTAATCACATTTTATTTCTGATTGGTGAAATATTTACATATCAAGAGTTACTCTGGTGTATCTGTGTCCTGATATCGCAGGCTGTACATGCTAGCAAAACGTACCCTGTATTTATAGTAAGAGCAGATGAGAATTTTTGCAGCCTTTTTTTTTCTTTTGGTTAATAATAGTTTCTCAAGCTCTGTAAGTGAGAAAAATGCGAGACCAAATAAATTTTAAAAAATACGATTTAAGAAAGACGACAAAATAAATGTGCCATTGAAAACAAAAAGTACGGACGAAATCATGACGGTAGCTGCAGCTTTATATTTCGTCAGTGATGATTAATAAAGCCAGCAAGCTAAGATTTCACCATGGATGAGGCCTTTTATACCCACTGCTCCCTGTAGTTAACCACTCTAAACTTTGTCAGCTTTGCCAGAGAGTCGACTGCAGTTTTGTCGGGGGCATGTTTCCAAGTGGCAACATGGAATCTGCGAGTTTTACGAGGGAAACACAACGATAGTTCTGTACATGTCGAACCTAGGTCGCTGTCGTCATCAAGTTGGGAGTTGTTCGTGGTTGGTTCTTTGGCCGTTGTGTTGCAGGTTGTAATTTCGTCGTGTCTGTCTCTGCTTCCT